AGTGTAACTATTCTACAGTGAAAGCCTATGACCACTTTGAAAAGACCTGATTAAAGAAAAAACACCACCTGCAATTTTGATCAGCCAAGAACATAATAAATATACCCAAAGATCCATAATCTGAACGATTAGAAGGTGGAGTTGCCAGTTCTCAGCATTATGTGGCAAAGCTTAGCTAGGAAGCTAAATTCTACAAGGGCTACAAACACACTATCCAAAGTTTTGACTCTTATCAAGTTCAAGATAACTTGACAAAACTTTGAGAAATCAAGATCCTAAAGCCTTTTTATCCTTTGTTTCATAGATTCAAACCATATGATAGAGAATAGAAAGAAAGATTAAATACTAAAAAAACAGCAGCAAAAAGAGTGATGTTAACATGTCCAGAAGTAGATGTTAAAGCACAAATGCAGTGTGTACTAAAATTTGTGATTATACTGGTTAAATATTACTTGTGCGGAAAAAAAATGGCATAGGAGTCAACCCAACCTAAAAATGGGAAGTTCCAACCCAATTTTGAGTTCCCTCCCTAGAACATGCCTCCTCTCCAACATAAGCATCTGGCCAGAGGTTTGTGTCACTGTACTTGGCATACATGTCAATATGGAGAATAGCACTCTCCATTTCCTTTATTGATCTGATTACCATTTAAATAAAACCTCTCATCGGTAAGACTACCAATTGTTTTTTCACTTACTTCTGGGATTTTTCCATGCCGCTGAAGAACTGCTTTGTACTGTACTGCAAGTTACCTGGATCAGATTTGGATAGACCCAAAAAATCAATAGATCTCAACTTTTAACTGCAGACTTTGCTGTATCACTAGGAGTGCAGCAGGTTTTTCAAGTGTCAACACATGACCACAGTCATCACCTATTGATTTGCTGAGTGTGATAGGTTACACTTGTGGTTTCTTCAGCCTTTAAAAACCTTTCAAGCTTCCCCCTTCTTTTCCCCTTTTATTGGAGAGAATAAAAATAAGATGGGTACATGCCTCTTTCTAGTACACCAAATACAAATCTAAATAAAAAATAGGACATATTTTGTCAGTGTTCAAACCTTTCAGTAAGACAATTTATTACACTACAATAAAAATGCTCTCTGCTGTGAATGGAAGAAAAATGGTCAAAATTATAATTTAGAGAGCAACACGCCAACTACATTCCAACTACACATTTAATGTCCAGTTAAATTTATGGATACAAAATTTAGAATACAGGATAAAGCAAATACAGAATCACATTTAAAGTATGAATATGAATGAGGTTCTACTATAGAACAGTAATAAAGTACAGGGAAAAAACCCCACTCTTTACTTACAAGAAAAGAACACACGATGCCAGCAACAAAGCATATGGCGAACCATCTGACTCGAGTACCAAAGCTGAGTGTTGACGCATCAAGAATCTTTGCAGGAAGGGAGAGGAAAAAAACCAGAGGATATTACAAAAAACATTGTTTTGAACAATATAAAGAACATGTTTTTCTCTACTGCTGAAGTCCTTAAATCCAAACTAAACATTTTTTTAGCCAGAAACAGTTATTTTAACTTGATTAACAGTTGCTTGTGTATTAATTCTTTCAGATTACAAAATTATATTAGGATTCTGGAAATGTATTTCCAAAACAAACCAACAAAATTAAGACAAAACCCATGAATGTATATCCTGGCATGCAAATAATACTGCTCCACTTTCAAACAGACTTTCTTGTTACCATACAAGTGAAAATCACCACAATTGTACCAAAGTGAAAGCATGGGTGCTTTCTAGCAATTTGCAGAGGAATGTATCTATTTGTGCAGGTTCCTACAAACATTACTACCTTTTCCTTTTACTAGATGGGATCCCTTGTACATATTAGTACCAGTAGCCACTGCCACCATTACGACTGCACTTCAATTACTGCTCCTTACAGGGTGAAGGTGTAGCTTGTCTCAGCAGACAGTTAACTTGCTGAAAGAAATTATTTTACTTCTTGCTTCTCCAGAGTGACTCCAGCACCTGTAAGACCCGCTAATGAGCTAGGCTAGCTGACACAACTCATGATGTGGAGAGAGAACTGGTGTTCCTTCTGTTCTGATGACTTAGTCCTGTACTGGACTAATGCGCCAAACCAGCTCTGCAAGCTGTCGGAAAAGCAGCAGTGCAGCTTGATGTAAGGAAAGAGGCAGGACCATGTAGCTGGCAGAACTGCCCCTTCCAGCAGAAGCAACTTCTTAGATATGCTCAGGTCATCTCCACCCATGCTGTAAGAACAATGCATTTCAGCTACAATTAAATATACTTCCTATTCCAAACTGGCCTATTAAGTGTTGCTTCAGCTTACATAAGATGACTATAAAAATCCAACTTTCCCAATTGTTCAGATGACACAAGCAAACTTGTGCTCTTGTTATCCAATACACAGGTATTTTAATCCAGTCTTATTACTCAAATGTACAAATTAAGGCTTCCCCAGCCAATGAGTATGACATTTCTCCTACTGTCTTGAGAAATTTCTTTCAGGTAGTGGTCAGTGAGCAAATTAAACCTGGTTACTGCTTAGAACAACGTCACATCTGTACTAATGAAGAATCTGTATCTAGTTTAATAAAAAAGTGCCACATGCAAGCACACACGTGGTAGGATGCATCAGCATCTAAATGTATGTCAGCTAGGAATAGCTTGGACTATTTTCTGCTTATAAAAAATTAGTCACTTTAATCATGTTAAATACTTTGAATATTTACTTAAGAAGGGGGATCAGAGTACTAAAAACAATCTTTTACACTGGTTTACTGTCTGAGTAGACACAGAGCTGGGATACCATATTGCTCTGAGTTTTCTTCCCCTTTCCACTTCCCTGTGTTCAGCAGTTAAGACAGAACTTCCCAAAGGTCAGAGGATGCAGCTTACCTTGTCAGGTCCAACTCTTTATCCTTATGTATGCATTAATGAAATAGACAAAAAACAGTAACTGAAAGATGGTATAGTACTTGAAATCATATTTGATAGTCATATTCCTGAATGCCTACACATGTAAGAAGTGTAGAAAAAGCTGCTAGGGCATAGCTGAAGATACCCACTTCACTCATGCTTTTAGTTACATCTATTCACACCCATTTCAATCATGCTTTTAGTTATACCTATTCACACAACTAATCACAAGTATACACATCCCTCCAAAAAAATCCCAGTAAAAATCCTTTCTATCCCTGCTCTAAAATGAAGCGTGGATAGGCCAATACTATCAGTAAACCCAACACACATATTTCAGGTTGCCTAGAAACCAGGGAAAAGATGAAGATAAATCATTTATTCAGAGGTATCAAGCACATTGCTGCCACTTACTGCTATTCTACTTCTAATCTTAATATCTGACAGTGCTCCTAAATGACTACCAGGAAATTTCATTCTTCATATAAATCTGAAAACTGCTTTATCATTTAAATCCCTAACAGTTATGAGGTGATAAAAGCATCAACACCAGAAATAAGAGAACCACACACAGGCTCAGAACACAAAATGCCGCAAGATTTAAAATATGATTTTAAAACTAGTTTAATACACTTTATGGATTTACTTCTTGAAAACCTGGATTGACAACACATGCACATGAACGACAGGAAGGCAAGCTGTGCCATGAGGGCTGCCAGAGCAGCACAACACACCATTCTCTGCAATAATAGAACTAAATAAATTATCAGGCGTTAAAATTAAGGCTGAGCCTCCAACCAGTCCCAACACCATCACCATTTATGTCATCAAGCTGAACCTAGTTAATGCAATGTTTGAAATCCTGAAACTGGAGATCTGGTAATGCATTTTCCTAGTCCCTGATACCTAATGGTATCTCTAAGAGAAGAGGAGATTGAGGAGAAACCTCATCACAGTCTACAGCTTCCTCACAAGGGGAAGGGGAGGGGCAAGCACTCATCTCTTGTCTGGTGACCAGTGACAGGACCCGAGGGGAACAGCATGAAGCTGTGTCAGAGAAGGTTTAAGTTAGATATTAGGAAAAGGTTCTTCATCCAGGGGGTGGTTGGGCACTAGAACAGGCTCCCTAGGGAAGTGGTTACAGTGCCAGGCCTGAGAGGGTTCAAGAAGTGTTTGGACAATGCTCTAAAGCACATGATTTTGGGGACTGTCCTGTGCAGGGCCAAGAGTTGAACTCAATGATTCTTCTGGGTCCCTTCCAACTCAGGATACTCTATGATTAATACTTTTCAGGTTTCGTGGAAGCAGGGGAACTCGTCAGCTTTCCAAGACACCTGTTTCACCCCTGTAGTGAAGCACCTTGTTGTGAAAGTTGAGTAACAGGGTCATAGTTCAACTACTTAAACCACAGACATCAGCTTGTGATAAAATGCTAGGCTACAATCTGTGAAAGCTGAGGACCTGACACAGTGTGTCTATTCTGCCACAGGTGCTGCAGGAGCAGTAATTTCTCTCTAAGGGGTCATGAGCCCCTCTGAAGCAACAGCTTAGTATCTCAGAGACTATGAATCAGAACCATACGAAAAAGTAAGACTAAGCTGCCCCTGCAACAAAAGCAGGAAACAACGTAAGGGCGATTAGGATTTTTTTGTGTGTGTCTGACAGCTAATCCTAGACTTCAGAGAAAAAGAGTTGGCATTGCAGTCTAAGATATTTGCATTAGCAGAACTTAGAAGACTTAAAAAAATTGACAGTCAAGTTCCACAACTGGGGAAAGATTCATATGGAGAACTGTACAGTAATGGTGGCAAGGAAGTTCCTGTAAGATACACCCTTCTTGCTGTACTGCTTATCAGCTTGTTTCTAAGCAAGAAGAAGAAATTGAAATCAACAAATGGAAATCCTTAGTTTTTTTTACAGCTAAGCTTTGATGCCAAATTCCTGGGCAAGAAGCAAAGATTTTTATTCACATATTTCAAGCTACTACTATACCAGAGAAATGACCAAGACATGCAGAAATCAATAGGAAACCCTAAGTGGAATCTGGAAGCGAGAACTCCTGAAACATAAGGAGCACTCTTGCAACAGTCTGATACAAAAGTTGCATGTGACAGGTAACAATGTGTTTGCTCAACAGCTTGCAATGGACACACAATAAGGACGTGAATGATAATCCACAAGGCTGCCTTTGATCAAAAACCTTTCTTGCGGTTCTGAACATCCATCTAAGCTCCCCACATGTATTAATGGCCTTATGAAAGTTTTCTATGTGGGCAAACAGAAAACCACAAACACTTTCTTATACAAGTTTTAAGAAATATTCTAGAAGTTCACAATTACATCTTTTCTTGGTGGTAAATTTAAGAATATGCAAATAATGGAGGAAATTCAAAGGAATGTTGAGCAAATTTGCACAGTTGAGTTTCTAAGCAATATTTTTA